GCCGTTCCGTCATCCCTCTATTCCGACTTTTTGGGTTGCTCCCTGACGCTCCGAAACTTTCCAACAATTAGCAGCGGGGGGGAGTGGGGTGGTGGCCGGGGAGGGTGGGTAGGTGTTGTTGCGAAATTGCTTCCACTGAGTAGAGATAGTAAAATCGAGAATTTGTAAAGCAAAACACAGCTTTGAAAAGACAGTGCAGCATTAATCATGTCTTTTCCAGTTTATTGTGTAGAGCCATACGGTACGGAGATGCTAGCTTTGGAATTGCGTGTCTCCAAAATACAACAAACACTGTATTTTGGCGGAAGAGCAATCAGGAGAAATACGACATCTACCTATTTTTTTTCGAGCTCTGAAGTTTAAGGTTTTTTTCAGGTCAAAGCTTCGAGGCACCTGTGATTTCTGAAATTAATATACTTTCTTTTTTTATATAAGAATATCGTTTTTCCTGCCCAGGCTGAATATTCTTATTTTTCTGCCGATTTTAGGCTGAAAGCATTCTTGTGAATATTCTTAGATTATAACGCATGACATTTCTGCAAATGAATATTTGAAAGATCATATATCCAAACTGCGGAGAAAGATATGAAGACATCAGTGATCATCGCTGGTAGTGATTACTCGGGTTAGTGGTGGGGTGGGGAGCCATTTTTTGGCCAGTTTTGCCGTTCAGACAAAGGGAGACTATTTTCGGTTTAGTTAAAAATGTATAATTGTATTGTATTGTATTGTATTTACAAACTTTTAACACACATTATATTCTTTTCAAAATCTCATCCTCGGATTTATTCTTAAATTCTTAAAATTTCGCAGATTTCAGCTTCGATTTTCTTATAAAACATATTTATATTTATATCTTATAAACAAATAAAGGGTTTCCCATCACTGTAAATATTAACTAACTACTTAACAATTAAACATCTAAATATAAAATACATATTTAACAATTAAGTTTCTAAAATATACATAATAGCACACGAAATGAATCACAAGAGGTGAGATGGTCCGCTAAAACAGATTTAAAAGACTCTACGGAAGGTTGATCTAACAAAGAGGAAGGGAGAACGTTCCATTCCTTCACAATTCTCGCCAACAAAAAAACTATTTTCCTTATTAAAAATTATGTAATTGCATACGATAGCACACACTGCAAGCAGAGCCTTTTCTTACGGTACATATGATTTGTACCGTCTCCTGTCCGCTCAAAAAAGCGATAAAAGAGGCTCTGCTCGCAGGGTGACGATAGCAACAAGCAGTCTGTAATTGTGTGTTATTTGCATTAACCGGGCCTGGTGGCAGAGTTTTTCTTGAATGCAGTGGTTGACCAATTGTGCTATCCACGAAATATTGACTGATCAGTGATTAACTGACATTTTAAAATAACTCGAGCAGATAATTATGCAGTTTGTTCCCGTTTGCATTTACCGTAGAAGTCTTTAGAAACTAAACGGGCATGCATGTTACATGCTAATCGGTTTAGTTGCAATAGTTATGCAATAAAAGTCGCCTTCCTCAGCCCATACCTTGAACGGCTTAACAGGCGAGTCTGCACTTGAATAGCGCGCGCAAAAGCGCACTAATCTATCTTCCGTCACGAGCTTTGGGTCAAAAATGCCGTGTGTAGTTGCCCAGAAATGTGAGCACAGATTCTCACCGCTCTCGTACTAACGATCAGCAAGACTCTCGTCATAACTCTGTACAATGTCGAATCCAGCGGCTATGCACATCTTTTCAATGTCTGACCTTGTTTTTAACTGATACGTGTTTAGTATCCTGTCCAGATTTTCTGGGTTAAGTTCGTGATAAACGTGCTCATGCATCGGAGGTAAGTGATCGAGATAACTCAGAACAATCTTCCCGCCCGGTCTGAGGCTTCTAAACATGTTCTCGAATGCCTCTCTTTTGTCCGGAACCCAGTGAAGCACAGTATTGCTAAAGACGATGTCGTAAGTCTCCGAACTCATTCCGGGGAAGTAAGCAGCGCTTCCTTCGTGAAACGTAAGGTTTTTGACTCCCTTGTGAGTCTCCTGAGCCACATGAACTCGGCCGATGTCAGGATCAACGGCTACGACTTTGCCTTGTTGTCCTACAAGTTCTGCAAGATGTGCCGACAGCTCGCCAGTACCGCAACCCAAATCTAAGATGGCGTCTCCAGAACAAGACCTCATGTAATTCTGTATCAGTCCTTTACCGACATGTCTTATAAGACCTGAAGTTCGCTGGTATCCTTCTGCGTGATTGTTGTCGGACATCACGGATCTAACCAAAGCCTTTTAGCGACGGAGTCGCAGTCGGAGTCGGTGAGTCTCCAAAGAAAAATCGAAGTCAAAACAGAAAATAGGAGTCATAAGTTGAGTCGTGCGTGACGCGAAAGAAAACCGCGAGAAAAGCATGGCCGCGCGGCCGCGCGAGCTCCTGGAGGTGAGACGCGCGTCTCGCCTCCAGGATTTCTCGCGGCCATTTTTCTCTCGCGGTTTTCTTTCGCGTCACGCAACGACGGACAAAGCGAAAGAGGGACTACTCGTAGTCGAGAGTCGAAAGAGTCGTCAGAACGTTTCCATCTCATTCCGATCTCACTTACGACTCTGTCGCTTATGATCCAATTAATTGACTGTCGGAGTTGAAAGCAGAATCAGAGGATCCAACTAATAATAAAGCTCTAGAAACCCTTGCTTGCGACTCCCACAATATATCAAGTTTTCATTAGATTATAAGCGGCGGAGTCATAAGCGGAACTGCATGCCAGCTTCATTTTCTCCCCAGGTCGTATCGCTCTACGTTTCTAATTACGATTCCGACTAATGAAAATTATCCTTGAGCCGTTTTCTTTGATCATTTTATTTCACAAATACTTTTCGGACCATGCCAGACACCCCTGTATAAAGCATTCATTCAGAGCATTTCTACTTCTAAGAATGTTTTGATCCGCCGATCAAAGCAGTTAGTGTTGCGCACTAATGACTCACTAAAATTTGAACCGGACTAGTCATTTACCAAGACCCTAAAAAACATTCTATATGCTATTTCTATGCGGATAAGTACTCAAGCACGTGAGGCATGGCTCAAGGTCTAGTTAATTTGCATACAATTTTGAAAGAATCATAGTTTACGGCCATTTAGGAAAACACTATGTATATATAGGTAATCGTGCAGTTAAGGACTTCATTACATGTGATCATTCAATTTTATCAAACCCCAGTTCAGCTAGGTGTTGCTTGTTTGTCCCATTTTTTTTATTAGAGTACAACGCGCGCATAAAATAACTTTGACCAGACTGTAATTCGTGTCTGAAGTAATATGCAGGTTTTGTGTGATCTATTTTTAGAAACAGTGCCCAGAGCTAATGTAGGCCCGGCGTTTTCAGTGAAATTTCACGATGGGTCAAACATATGATGAGCGTACACCTTCAGGATAATCTCTAAACAGTCGCGCGAACCAAACATGTAGGGGTTTCACACTAAAGAGGGGTTATACCCGAAACGTTTGTGATTTTTCACAAGACGACACTTTGACATTATTCTACGTTATCAGTTTTCAAGTTATATTTCCTTTTGAACGTTTATAATCCCTAAAGAGCCTGGGAGCGAGATTACTACGCGCGTGCAGACTCCCAACTGATCAGTTTAAATTGTTACGTTACATTGGTAATTCTTAATTTAATATTTACTAAATTAGGCTTAATTAATTTCACTACTGCCTCTCTGGGCTCAATATTAACTGATGTTTGCATCACTCCTGAGTTCTTCTAGCGGAACAACCTGAACAACGCACAACTTCATCAGTTCCTAACTCATAGCTACAAGACTAGCCTGTAGTTTACAACGTGTAAGTTTTGTATTCTATCTCGCGCTCAAAGTCCTTGTTTTTGAAAGGTAGTTACAGGTGGGATGAATGGTCTTATATTTTACTGGTGGACAAGCCGGCTCATGCCAATCGCGTGGTGAAATCTCCTTATTAATATTAACAAATCAAGGGTCGATTGATCGCCGAATCTTGTGTAGATCGTCAAATTTTATTTTGAAAAACGTGGAATGTTTTCAGATTCACTCAGCGCTTTGTACAGATGTATCTGAGCTGAAACCAAACATGGAACTCCGAAGCTTTATTCGATTCTGTCAACTCATGAAAATGTTCGTTACATTTTCCGGAGTGTTAATCTTTAATCACACTTCAAGTCATCTGCTGCTCAGATTTTGCGGATATTCAATTGTTTCTATGGTCGTAGTGTATGTTCTTTGCTTTACTTCACTGGCGATTTTCTGGTGCGGATTTCAACGCTCGTTAAGAGCCAGTGGAACAAGAGAACGTCAACAGATTCTACAAGATCTACGCTCCATTGAGACTGAGAAAATTCCTCTAATCATTGACCGGTTTTTAGAGCTAGATAGAGCTGGAACACAGAGAGTAAATCACGCTAACAAAGTCGCTGACTGTGCTGCGGATAAACAATGTGTAGTTTGCTTAGATGCCGAAGCTTGTATTCAAACTTTCCCGTGTGAACATGTCGTGGTGTGTGGTTGGTGTGCGTGGCAATCTCTGAAGATTGCGTTCATGCAGCAGTCCCCGCATCGCTGTGTCGTCTGCAGGACTGAGATTCAGGATTTCAGCGGTTGTTTGATAAAGGACTTGGTAAATCTGAACTGGAAGGATGTGAAGAAGATCATTGAAGAAATTAAAACTGGCTAAGCTCCTGGCCGGATTCACGGAAAAGTGGAATCAAATGAGGAGAACTGGACGAATGATCCCAGTTTACGGCAAATATCCACCCTCCTGGGTGAACCTTCTGCCTTTTGAAGCTCGGTAAAATAAAGGCTTTGCTCGTAGGATGATAAATAACACACACGGAATAATTTCAGAATTCTAATTCATGGCTGCAAGAGTGGATAAACGTGACATGATCAGCGGGCACAGTTGTAATCACAAAGTAACTTTTAAGTATAACTGCTGTCTAAATCACCCCGTGTCTGTTTGACAACGATAAAACTGATATTATAAGCAGTAAGTAAATGTTCTTCGCTTGTTGAAGAAAAAAATAAGATAAATTAAAGAAATTTAGAAATGTCGTTGTAACTCTTTTAGACGTGTAACGGTTAGTGCTTTTTGCGTACCTTATAACAGAGCGATACTTGAGCGGATGTTTTAAGGCCACGCGCCGATCGTTTGTAAGCACGGCTAGACTCGAAATAAAGGCTACAATCGTTACGTACTCTACCCATAAAACCAATCACCCGAACAACGGGTTCTTGGACGGTTTCGTTATTGTAGAAAGCAAGATTTTGCGCCACTCGCATGGGTATAAGAACCCCTGTGACGAGAAGATCAACAATCGTCAATGAAAGTATGTAGAAATTCAGGCGATTTGAAGAGACCTGTTTTTCAAAATCGCCAAGCAGACCAGGCAGTTGCCAAATGTTGCCAGCACGACAAGACATATTTCGATCAAGGCTGCATGCCAAGAAAAGCTCTTGTTTGGAATAAAATGCAATTAGAAGTGTTGCGTTGGTAGTCCCTCCTTTATCCACGGCATGGCTTTTGTGCAGTTGTCAGTCAGAAACAGGATATAGAATAGCTGAAGATCTGAATCTGAGTACTCAGCACGACAAATATGAATATCTATTCATGTGAAACTTGCACAGACGACGTGTACGTTCAAATACCAGCTGCAAATTGCCTTTACATTGTCGTCCAAAAATGCCTGAAACAATCATATAAGCATGTACTGTACATTACAGGCAAGACCGAGGAACAATTGAAGTGCACACTTTGCCCGTTCGTAATTTTACACCACAAATTGATCGATAATATTGTTTATTTTTTATGCGCTTTTAATTTTAGAAGCTATTGTTTTTTTTTTTCAACTCGTCAGTTTTTCACTTAAATTGGTTCTAATTAATAAACCCATTCTATGCCTCTTCAAATTATTTCTGGAGACTCTGAAACTTATATTTGTCGTTTTCTTTATCATCAATACCTCTAACTACTCACTGCAGCTTGCATGCCTTCGTTATATAAAGAGTGAATCTTTGTATCAATCATACTGTTTCAACTACATGTTATTACTTATTATTTCCTTGACAATAGCCCGCTCGGATCATAAGCGCTCGGTCGCTAAACCCCGCTCCCCCCTTCTCTCTAGAACAGCATTTTCGGTGTCAGAATTAGATGTTGTTCTTTCACTGGGTTGTCCTGAGCAGCACTTATAATCGTCTGATCAACACGAGATTGACGGCGGATCGGTACGAACTGTGAACAAGGAACCATGGCCAGTCTTATACGGTATCTAGATTTAGCCTAGGACTGTGAAGCTTTCAAGAGCTACTCAGCTGAAGTCACCTGTCTTTAAACAGCTTTCCCAGAAGATGTCATAAGGTTATTAGTTAAACGTTTTCGTGCATACACTGATACTGCCAACATGGTTGATAGCTTGTCACTTTCGGGAAATCGTCGTATTTTGGAGATTGAAAATCGTATTTTGCTGCTACAGTTACGGTGCCACGTTTTTAACAATCGAGGCTAAATACAGGGGAAGAGACGGGGCGCTTATTTGAGACAGGGGTGGTTATTCAGTCACGCGCTACTGATTTTGATACAAGCATCTCAATGTCTAAAGTGAAAAGAGATATTTTGTTTGAAGGAACAGTCCCTCACATGAAAATAACAGTCGAAATACTTATATTACGAGCTTAATTTCTTGTGATGTGGGATCTGAGCCGTTCAGAAGGAACATGAATCACGGATGATTTCAATGTAGTCTGTACAATGTGCTTACTGGAATGGGGGCCTTAATATGTAGACGCTTCTTAACAAAAACAAATTAAAAAGAAGGGTGTGTGTATTGGTAAGCGGACACTGGACAGAACGATTACGTACTGTATGGGGGAATCCTTGTTTCAGTACAATATTTGCCTCATCAGCATAAGCAATTCAGTTTCCGATGAAGCTACAAATAAATTAAAGGTCATAGTACGATTAACTCTGCCAATTAATATGAGCCTGATGTACTGAATACTTTTTGTGCAACGCGGGTTTAAAATCTTAAAATTTTACAAAGAATGTATGAGTTCATTGGCGCTTTAGTCACCCAGAAATTTTGCAGTTTTTGAAAGACAATATCTCCTTGAATATTACACCCAAAGAAATAAAAATTTCACCACGTATAAGTTTCACTAGCTCTTTAGCTGCTTTGAGTCAATTCATATCTAACATGTTTCCTTCTGTACGCAAAGCCTTATAGAAATGAGCAAAAATGTAAACAATGACGTTCACTGCCACTGCCACTGTCCTGCCAGCCGCGGAAGGGCAGTGAACCCCCGGGAGGGGGCACTGCCACATATGGGCTATAAAGGTATGTGCCGCTGTAAAGGGTATGGTTTTCAAGCAGTTTACTCTAGGATAGGGTATATAAATCAGAGCGTTTGGGTCTAGAATAGGGTATAATTTTTTACAAAACTGACTAGTTAGTTGAAGATTTTATCTAGACTGAGGAAACCAGGAATTGCCGCTCAAAAATATGAAAAAATCGAATCGGTAAGTTTAAATTTATGCAAATCAGCCTCAACAGTGTCGATAGATGGGGGGATTTGGGAAGTTTATTCTACTATAGGGTAGCAAAATTCAGCTGAACTAGCTCTGGTATAGGCTAAGGGTTCCAGGGTCCCAGCGGCACATCCCCACCCAAAAATTCCCAAAGCACCCCCCCCGGGGAGTGAACCGTACCAATCACCAGCGTATGAAGGAAGGTTCTAAATTAAAATGTGACGCAAGCAGACTTAAAATTCTTCAAACAGCTTTGCCTTAACCCAAAATAGTTAATAGCCCCTTAAAATCCGTCTTTTAGATGGCCATGAACGGAGAATATACTTAACAGACTATTAAATCAGCATGGTTGCGTCTTCACGCAATGTTTCTTCCTCGGGTGTTGCGTGACGATCTAAAATAACGCCAGCTACCGCAGCGTCGGCTGTGTATTTGTTTTTTACAATAATATTGCAGCCATAGGTCTGCGCAAAGTGCTTTCGTCTTCCTTTTTAGCGGCGTCGAAGAAAACCTCCTCCTCTTGCGGGATTTAACGTCCCAGCGGAAACCCGGGAGTGGGATATCATTCCCCAGGAAGCCCGAAAGTCCGGAGGCCCCGAAGCCCGGAAGCTGGGTTCTCTGGTCATGACGAAACTTGTCTCGTGACTCGATCTTTCAAAAATCGAGACCTCAATACGAGGGTTTAACATTAATATATCTTCTACAACTTTCGTTGTGCGTTTTAATTTTCCCTCTGAGAACTTGAGCAGTAATCATGGCTTCTTCATCGATACTTTGCCTTTTAACAGCTATCTACATGAGCACATTTCCATCGCACTCACATGAAATGTCAAAAGCAACCATTGACGATCGTCTGGCCGTTCTTGAAAACAGGCGAGCGCCAGTCGACTCTGTCTTTGCTTTCCACACAAACGAAGGGAAATTGCGATACAAGCAGGATTTGAAGGGAAAATGGTCGAATTGGTAAGTTCTTTAGTTAAAATAAAGTTTGAGACCGCTTGACTTTGCTAGAACTCTTTACGTGATGCCCATTTCTATGTAGAAAATAATTATTCGAGTGTACAGTTTGAAAATGACCTGAATACCCGGGGGGGTACTTTGGGAATTTCTGGGTAGGGATGTGCCGCTGGGACCCTGGAACCCTTAGCCTATATCAGAGCTAGTTCAGCTGAATTTTGCTGACCTTTACTAGAGTTAACTCCCCAAATCCTCCCATCTATCGACACTTTTGAGGCTGATTTGCTTAAATTTAAACTTGCCGATTTGATTTTTTTATATTTTTGGGTGGCAATTCCTGGTTTCCTTAGTCTAGATAAAATCTTCAACCAACCAGTCAGTTTTGGGGAAAATGATACCCTATTCTAGACCCAAATGCTCTGATTTATATACCCTATCCTTGAGTAAACTGCTTGAAAATCATACCTTTCACAGCAGCACATACCTATATAGCTCATATATGGCAGTGCTCCCCCCCCCCCCGGGNGGGCCTGAATATATCTATAAATATAACTATTTAATACCCTAAAAACCGTTCAAGGCCTGTATGAAGTCAAGATGTTTAATAAACCGGCTTGGGATGACATGCATAGTGTGGAGGTGGGGTGAGGGTGTGGCAGGGGTGTGGAGTGGGCTTCCCTTGCACCTCACGAAGAATGTTTACCCAGGTAAACAATTTTGTGAGGACAAACCCTAGATTTAAGGGAGGAGAGGGTAAGTGCTCAACTGTATGATGCAGGAAAATTGTTTGCGAGAGTATGAAGGAAACTTCATTTTAATAACAAAGATTATTTTAACCACATTTCTTTTTTCGTTATAATTTATTAAATTCAGGCAAGACATGGGCTCTCCAGAGGGGAAATCAATAATTTCAAACCCTGTCGCAGTACATGATGCCAACAATCAGACCATGGTATTTTGCTTGTGCGATGATGGACAAGTTTACTATCAACAACAAGATGCTGACAGATTAGCTGATTTTGGAAAATGGCGTACAATTGGTTCTAAAATTCCTTTTGAAGCAGGTGGGACTGACAAAAATATATTCAAACTTATTTCCTAAGAAAACCTCCACCTTAAAGTGCAAATTGATGATATTGCTATCAAAATAATGTTATGATGATTCTAATTGGGTTTATGCAGGAGTTACGCTGAAAGGGAAAGACACATTGACAGTTTTGAATTATCAGAATAAGCTGACTGTCTTCTCGAGATCTGTCACAAAAGCTTCCCGTCTCTACTGGACACAGGAAGTGAATGGAAATTGGACAGCTTGGGGTCTGATTGGTGGGTCATCTGTGTCATTGAAGTCAGATGTTGCAGTGGCCTACAATGGATTCTCAAAGGTACACAAGTGAGAATCATTGCAAGATTAATATCTGTCCCAGAGCACATTAGGCTGGTGTGACCAATATTGCAATTGCAAGGTTAAAATGATTTTGTCATGCGTGAGGACAATTTAATTATAGGTCAGTTTACAGGCCTATATTACAACATGTTAATTCATTAGACATTCTCTGATGTAGTTTGGCATCAGTTCTGAAGACCTGGAGACATATTAATTAAAGCAGACCGTTAATGTTGTATTGATCAATGACGTAAAACTGCCCACACAAAATGGGCACACTGGAACCACCATCCACCCACTTGCACCCACACCCCATCCCCTGGTTTTCAATCATATTTGGATATTTTATAATTGTTTTTTTCTGGCAATGGCATTTGTTTTTTATACCTATAGTATTTGGAAGCATTTGCTGTCATGGAAAACAACAAGATGTATCGAACATGGCAAACAGGTACTGACAATAATTAGTTAGTAACTTTTAATGTCAATTAGTCAATCAATCAATTTGAACCAGTCAGTGGTATCCAAAAATCAGTCCCTCATCCTTGACTCTTACTCAGGTCAGTCAGGTACTTGGTCTGTCAGGTACTTGGTCTGTCAGAGCAAGTCAGTCACTCAAGCATTAAAAAAAAATAATAATGATAATAATAAAATAAATCACTTTATTTAAGTTTCAAAGTGTTTAACATTGCTGTACTAATTGTGGACACTGAAGTAAGCACACAAATATTGTAAATTAAACAGAAACTTGTTAAAAATCCCAACTGGTAATTGGTTGTTTTGTTAGTGAATAAGTCAGTAGTAAATCAGTTTGTCTATACATACATGCTGTAATGCTGGCCTAATGTATTTGTGGACTTAATACATGTTAATTCAAATCAACCTGCAGTGTTGTAAAGATAAATAAACATATAAATACAATAAAAGTTCATTTCAATAATACAGTAATAATAATTAAAGTTCTCTTGAAATATAGATCCAATGAAATGGGTATCATGGGATGAAACAGGATATGGAGCTCCTGAGACTCAGCATGCCCCAGTAGTGCACCAGATGAGCCACAGCGTCTTCAATGGTGTTCTCAATGTGTTTATTTATGGAGATGATGGCTACCTACACCATATATGGCAAACGACATGTGACAAAGTTCCAAACCCCTGGGGGTGGTGCACATGGAGTGTTTGGTACAAGATTAGTGACAAGATTCCAGCTGCACTTCCCTCCTTTAATCCTTTAAGTATCGGAGCTAATATACATCTTGGAATTGAGGTAACTAAAGCTGTCTGATTGTTAACTGCATGTACTTGGGAAAATCGTAGGCTCAAAAGGTGACATATATACCAACCAAGTTAATGGTCCATGTAGGTGTAAGGTAGAGACCAAGTTTACTTCACTTTGATTCACTTATGTTAAGTGCAAGGTGGGCAAGCCATATAGTGACTTGAAAAGCAATCCATATTTTACAGTACAGACCATAACAGTAGAGTATTCCTGTTCCAGTAAAGGTGATTAATATGCATGATAACCTGAAGAGCAATAATTCAGATAATTGCTGCGCGAGTCATTATGCATGGTATCTCCTTGAATTATTATGCAGTTCTTCTGTATTCAATATTACTATGATTATAGGAACTACCATTCATGGACAGAAGTCTTGGGTCAAATTTGCACTTTTGGTGGTTTTGCGCACATGCCAGATGTGAATACAGCCTTGCCCCACCCCGCCGCATACAATGTTGAAAACTAGTACTAGCAATTTCACCTGATTTTCAACTTAGTATTGGCTGGGGAGGGGGAACAGCAGTGCATTCTTAAAAGGATAGTGGTGCATTTTTTCAAACTTACCGGTAGTTATAAAACACAGATAATTCGTCTACGATTTTTTGCTGTTTAGTATTGCTTTCAATAAGTTTATTTCTTTAACCCATACAATGTTTTCTTTTTTCACTTTTCACGATCTACACATTCAAAGGTCTTCACAATAGGAAAAGAGGGTGGCCTGTGGCACATGTGGGAGTTGGAACGTGGCGGGGTGTGGAACTCGTGGAAATATGTTGGGCGTCCTGCATCAGCCTTAGTCAGTCATCCCACCATCACGAATGATGATAAAGGGTGGTGGGCTGCCTATGCTGTAAGTAACTTTGTTCCTGTTTAGAAACAGAACAGTATGTCACTATCGAATGAAGGAGTAAAATTGTGTGAAAATCTATGCAGTTCAGTAAAGTACTAAAGGAAAGTAGATCAAAAGTTTGACGAGAATTTCTCTGCATTTCCAGCTAAGTGCAGCTGATGAAGTTGAGATTGTTGAACAGAACCGGTCCTTACTCCTCTCAGCATCAAGTGTTCCATTTGGAAGTCCAGTCCAAGCCTCCTGGTCTGTGCCAGTTGACGAAGCGACCAACAAGGACTGGATAGGTGGGTGGGTTAACCCTTTTAGGCCTTACTCAATGCTCTTCCTCTCTACCTGTCTCCATGTATCACAAGAAATACTTGATCACTAAAAATATGAAGTTAATAATCTTAAATATTATCCTGAATTACTGTCGCAAGTTTTAGAAAATTTAATGCCGCTGATATCCCCTTCAATCTTGCTTGGTCTTGAAAAGATCAAACTCATTAAAATGTCAATACACTGGCCGCATGCTTGAGCCTATCTTTTTCCGTATTTGTACAGTCTGATGTAGGAGTAGTCTCCTCTGCAGCCGTTATTAGGGTTGTCACACAACGCTTCTCCCCCACTAGCGGGGGAGAAGCATTGTGTGACGACCCTAATAACGGCTGCAGAGGAGAATAATGCAGGAGTTCTGCGAGACACTTCTTGTGTGTATAACTATAATACTCTAACACTCTAGGCGTGTATCCATCTGGTGCTGATAACCAAATGTACGTGGACTACTACTATGTTGGAGGTGGGCAGAACCCACTCAAGGATGCAATACCCAAAGGCTCTCTGACTTTCAAGTCATACCTCCCTAATGGCAAATATGATTACCGTTACCTGTAAGTCATGAAAATAAGAATAAATTTAAAATTACGTGTAAATTAATCTCTAGTAGGGCCTTCCCTTCACATTCCTTTCTTTTTTCAACTCTCAAAGACTAAATTATTTCTCTAGCTCTCTCCTCAAATATGAATTTATTTGTAATCAGTTGTTTAACTTATTGATGTTCTTGTACATGTACATCTTTTTTTCATGTGCAGAAGTTGATTTAAGATTTACAGAAAGCCTGTTCTTCTTATGACCATCTTTTTCTTATGCCCATCCATAAAATCCAATAAAAAGTTTTCAAGTACAACACATTGTTGATGTGATATTTGTATATTTTGTCTGATATAAAGACTGTAGTTCAGAAGTACAAAAAACATGAACTATTGTCTATGTAACTTTGGTATCAATGTTACCTTCTGCCAGGGTAAATAAGAGATTCTTTGACGCTGTGAGTTCTTCCCTTTCTGTATTCAATGCCACAACAGACAAAGAATGGGTTCAGTTATACCGAGGGATAGCTGCAGGACTGGGTAAAGAGGGCTTCAATTTCGAGAAATGCGTTGAAGATGGCAACCACACAGTAGTATTGTTCAAGGAATCATTTGCCGCTTTCCAGAATAATGATGTTTTCAAAGGACTACACTTATTTGGTACAGCACTAATGGACATAGTGAAGGCATTTGAGGACTGTGGTGAGACTGATATTGCCAAAGCAATTGAGAAGCTGGCCATGGATTTTGTCAAATGTGTAGAAGGTAAAAAGCGAGTGTGTGCAGTTAAATGCAACAACAGAATAAGTTGATTTTTTTGCAGCTCAGCCTTAGGAAAAGGCATTCTCTGACCGACACCTTTTGAATGTTCCTATTTTAAAGCTCGCTCTATTCTAGGACTGCTATGTAAAACCTAATATATTTATTAATGGAACATTCACCAAGGTCAAACAAGTGAAAATTGAATTTGCATTGACATTTCGTCAAAGTATGTTGGCAATACATTCAAAGTTTCTCTTCCTTTGGTGTTCTTAGGGAACTGTGAGAATTTTGTTATTGATGTTGTGGATGAAATCCTCATCCTATTTGAGAATGTGATTGAGATTTATGGAGACATTCGAGGAGCAAGCAATTCATTCCAACTAGAGGCTTATGAACAAGGTAAAAGGACTGAAGTACAAAAAACAAGTATGTGTAACTGGCAATACAGTGTGGCTAGATCTGTAAATCATTGAATATGATTCATGTTACTGCATTACTAACTATTTGCTGACCAGTAGTCTGTGGTATTCATGTATTCTCACATTCTGAACAAATAATGTAAAGTTAAAAATTCTTTTTAATGGTGAAAACCTAGTTGAAAACTTTTTATTTTTGTGTTGCATCAAGAACAACAGCTGAAAATGATCTTCTCTGTCCTTATTTCTGGGAGCAATATTTAGCATTTTACCCACAGGAAACTGTCTTTCAAACGACAGCCCTTCTAAATCTCTCCTCCATCAGCTTATTCTCATTAAAAATAGGTTGATTTATAGCTAAGAATAGAGCTTATAGTCTGGGAAAGTACAATTCATGTCAAAGTTTACATAAAACTTGGGTTGTGATAAAGATGACAAGTTTGTGTCATAGATTGATTGGTAATAAGTTTACAAAGAATAGTACTATATCTTGATGGTGGTGATTTTTTCTCCTAGGTGGATACTGCATTGGACGTATTGTTGCCGTGTGCATTTCTATTCCATCCTATTATTAACGAAGTCAATTTACCTGACAACCTTTAACATTTCCAAGGCCACTTGGCTTTGTTAGCTTTTGCAGATAATGGGGAAAAGATTTTATGGGACAAAATGTCAGTCAGTCAGATTTTATAAAAAGAATCAACAGAAGGAATAAGTCCAATATTTCAAGAAAACTAAGGCAATGACCAAGGAGAACATTCATTTTGACAATATCAGTTTTGAATTGGGGACTGCAGGTGTTGAGGCTTCACACAATTATTCTAAAATTGAAGAAAGTTGTTATTTTATGTATCAAGTAAATATATTTGTTACAAACAAACACACAAATTGAAATAGAATCATTAATTAATTTTGATGTGGTGTTTCAAAGAAGTGTGATTATCATAGCAAAAGTAAGTAACGATAACAAAAAATAAAGCTGTGAGAGCAAATCAGAAATCTTTTTGGAAAGATGCATTCTGTACTTGTATATTGTATCAAATGATCGTCAAACAACGTTAAACTGATGCAAGCACACGAGTAAAAAATGAAGCCAAAGATCATTCCTCATATAGATTAAGGTTAGTTAAGTCTGCATATAAGCCAAGTGGTCCATCAGGCCATAGCCTGCGAACACAGACATATTTCCGGCTGTGACTTAGTTCCACCGAAAAAAAAACGTCTGCGAACCCAAGCCAGAAAACGATTTCTGTGACATAGGAATTCTAAGCCAATCACAGTTTAGCTCAAATAACCCCAGAACTACTGCATGAGGTATTTGCTGTGAGGAGCACTCAAGTTTCATTCTATCATGGAATCTGATTGGCCAAGGAGGAACAAAAGTCATTACGTCACAGAAATCGTTTCCTGGCTTGGATTCGCAGACGTTACTTTTTCCGCGGCACCAAGTGACAGCTGGAAATACGTCTGCGTTCGCAGGCTAATCGGGCCAGAGCTTAGAATAAAACACAATGTCCTTGGCCAGGGCTCGAACCCGGACCACCTGATCCAGAGACAAACGTACTAACCATGAGGTCACCACAGTATATACCACTAAAAGTGTACATTGTACACTACTGAAACAAACAAGACTGAAAATTAAAAGATGAGTCAGAAGGCAACTCTAATAACAACATTGAAGTTCTATTGTATTTGATCTGTTAACTTACATCACTCACAGATAATACGAAAACATAATATACAAACAAGCTCTTGTTCTGTGATACATCTTTTGTCAAACTATTCTTTCCAATTCTTTAGCATACTCAAGCATATGTTGAATCATTTTGTAAGCAGGAATTTCTTGCTGTGTTTCTTTGTCTGTTTCTGGCTCAAAGTAGTAATATTTATCTTCCTTTAGAATCCATGCTCGCTGAATATAAAAGAAGGAACAGAACAGACAACAATAAATTTAAAGAACACATCTTGCAATAAGATCAAATGACATTGCTTGGATGCGATATTACTGTTGTTATTGTAGAAAGCTGCCCGGGGTGTTGCACAGAAGTCAGATTATTCATGATTGATTCAATACTTCTAACAATCACAACAGCACACAATGTTGTTAACTTCAAAGCTTACCTTCTCGGCAAAAGCTCTCATGTCTTTTTCACTCTCAAAGTACAGAATCCTGGAAGCCTCTGGAAGGGATATGCACTGATAGGCTTTTTCTGTACATGCTGCTATTTCATCCCTGAAAACATGTGTACATTGAACAGGAAATAAAGTTATTTAAAGCCCAAGACTAATAGATTGAGGGCTTAACTAGCAAAGGTCAGTTCTCAACCTAACCTTAAAAATATATTTCAAGATCAGGCAGACAGATAGATAGATAGACAGACAGACAGACAGACAGACAGACAGACAGACAGATGAACGGACAGACATGTAGGTCTACGCAATGCTGAATCATTTTATCAGCATATCACAAGTACAAACTACTAAAAAGAACCATGTTCCACTAAATAATATTTCTGTAGCAAGTTCCTATGTGTTTAACTGTCTTTTAGCATTAGAATGACATCTGCCTTGCATTACAAACCTACCTAGACAGTGGGTAGATGCCCTGTGCCCCCAAATTAAACTTGTACTACTGATTTCTCTGAAAGCTCTAACAATTAAAATAACATTGGAGTCTTTACTTTTGATTACCTTAGAGTATCTAAGAGAATGTTCATGAAGAAGTGATAGTTATCAGCTGGTACATTTCCTCTTGCAAGGAAAACCTACAAAAAGGAAATCACAATTAATTTACTACAAGATCATTGACAAGTAATTTAACAATATTTTATAATGTAACCTGAACTGTAGTAAAGACAATTGATGGCAACCTATGACCTTACAATATCAAATGAATATAATAATTACTGTCAAGCAGTCAAGGCATCAGGAACAACTTAAGTCACTGTATGAAATTACAGCTGCAATCAGTACAGAGATTCAATCAATCATTTTAATATAGGGCTAAAAGTGAAAAGAAAGCCCTATGTTATCAAGAGAGTTCAAGAGCTGACTGAATGGGTATCACAAATGTCCTCTTTAACTCAAAATGTCACAAATGTCCTCTTTAACAGATGCCCTCTTTAAATGTCCTCTTTAACGCCAATACTAAGGAGCTTACATTGGTTGCCAGTTCATTTTAGGATTATTTTCAAAATGTTGTTAACTTACAAAGCTCTGAATGGACTGGCCCCTGATTACATTAGAGACCTGCTGCGATTTAACATTTCTGGTCGCACACTAAGATCTTCAAACAACAGGTTGCTTGATGAGCCTAGAGCAAATCTTAAAACG